TTAAAAATATTTTAAACATCAACCAAAACAGACTGATGAGAGGTTCAACTGAAATGCATTTTTGTTGAAAACAATAAAAACGATTCCTTTAAAATAGTTTTCCCTAGTATGATAGATTCATGAAGAAAATAATATCTAATGATAATAGAATTATTGGTCAGTTTGCATTAACTGCCAGACTAATTTGTCATTTTCTGATTTATAACATTTGGGATGAAATTTACATAACTAGATAATCATAAAACTTAAAATTGAAAGCAATTATTCAAGAAACCAGAATGACTATTTTTGACAATTGCTGTACAATTACTGACCTAAGTCACATACACATCATAATGTTAAATAATCAAGATGCAATTCTTTCAGTCTTTATAACTTTTCTATACATTTGTGTACATCTTATTAAAAAGGTGTGAATGGTAGTTTTGTAATGAATATATGTCTCTTTAATCCGAAAAATTAACTTCGATAGACTATCAATACAGCTTTTAGGTTAGACACTTCTTTTATTGTTTTCACATATGCATTTCAGGCTTACATAAATGCTAAGACCCTCTTCAGTGCAATAATATGGTTGTCTTCTATTGGGTTGTTCGGAAAGTAAGTTCGTTTTTTTTTACCACTAGATGGACTAGTCATATTTTTCCCACCATTTTCGTTCTAAACCATATTATCATTATATATTTTGACAGCTAGCATTTTATGGCTTATTTGTAAAAAATTTTGTTTGATTTTGTGCAATTGTTTATTTTTTGTGTCCCATCAAATATGGAAGATTGAAAGCAACATCTTCGGCATATTTTGCTTTTTTATTACCAAAAAATCAAAATGCTGTTCAAGCAAGAAAAAAATCATGTGACATATATAGTGGAGATGTGTTGACAGAACAACAGTTGACAGAACAACAAAACAAAATTTCGTTCTCACAATTTCAGTATTGAAGATGCACCACATTATGGATGGCCAATTGAAGCCAATGAAAACAAAATAAAAGTACCGATTGAAGCAAACTGTGGAATAACAACACGTAAAATCACTAAGAGATTAAATTTGTCAAGTTGAACTGTTTATGAGTACAGGTATACCTCGCCTTACGTCGGTAATTGGTTCCAGGAAAACAACTTAAGTCGAAAAACGATGTAAGTCGAATTTACTTGTCTCCGAATCTACTTGCCACTAGGCTAAACCATAAATTACCATTCCTGGTTTTATATTTTATTTATTAATGCATTTTTAATAATATATGGTTAATAAAAATCTATTTTAAGCTTACAAACAAATAAATTTTAGTTTTTAATATAGTACAGAAAAAAAGTAATCTAAATTTATGAATACATGTACTGTACTTAAGTACATACTTGTAAATATACGTTTACAATTTGGCGATGTTTACAGTACATTGCAGACTATTTGTGAATGTGGTTTGCTCTAAGACATAAAATAAGATGATTTTGTAAGGTTAAATAACAAACACAGTTATTAAAATTATTTTGCAATAGTAAAAAGTAAACTAATTTATGTTAAATTTACCAATAACAAGTGGCACTGACAACGACGCCAAACAGTAGATATTGGAACTACTATGGAAAATGCCAATATTGAGCTTTTAAAGACTGCTAAATAAGATGACCCCAGAATCACAATGTTTTCATATTTCGTTCTCTACAATTTATGATGATTATATTAACATTTACCGTAAATGTATGTATTTTAATATGATTTTATGTGCTTTTAACACATTTCTAGTGATATTACAATTTCAATATTTGTGGCAGACAGATGTAAAGTCGAATAAAATGACTTAAACTTGATTTTTATTTTTCCATATATTTTTTTGACAAACAACGTATAATTGAGAATGACGTAACTTGAAACAATGTAGCTCGAGGTATACCTGTACATTGTTAATGAGCATGAATCATCATCATCATTTTTTTTTTCTAGCACAGAATGAACCAACCTGGAATGCAAATTCAATTTGCAGAAAAAAAAAAATATGATAAACATGCAAAACAATATGCCAAATTCTTGGGCTATGTAAATTAAAATGTCTAAATTAAAAATTAATTATTTATAGACATTTTAATTTACATAGCCCAAGAATTTGGCATATCATTTGGCATGTTTATTATATAACAGACAATGGTTGGTGATGTTTATATGTAATATGGCTGAACACAAGTTGGAAAAATGTTTGATCACAAGCGACACTAAGATGCTAGTGGAACGAGTGCTAAACACAGACTGATGGAGCATACACACAATCTGGGACTTCCCCTCTCCTCTTCACTTATTATGCAAAATGTCACTCGTTAAGCAAGTCATTTTTTTTACAATTTGTTTTGCTTGTTATGCAAAATACTTGTTAAGCAAGGTACCACCGCAGTAGGAAAAGATCAATTTTTATCATCATTTGTAATTATCCATATGCATTTGTAGACAGCAGTTGAAAATTACTAAATTATGTTAAATATGTAGTATCTATTAATTTTATAAATTATTTAGGCTTAAAATAATTGATTTCTTTTTATTTTTTACTGAAACATTTAGTAGAAAAATTAACAGAACTGGTTTGGATTTGTGTCGGGATAAAAATTGTCTGAATGTACGATTCCCATGCTTTTCCTGATTTTGAATGAGCAACAGCGGTCGTCATGGGAACATGGATCAGGCGATGTTGGTAGTTTTGAAACTTGACCACGGATTGGCTAGAAAACATCGTACAACCAGCATACATCCGATAGCGCTACTGAGCACTGATTGGAGGACTTACATTTGTTTCAATCCGATATAAAAGGACTGAATTTAGGCTGGAAGTTTAGTTCGCCTAGGACCTGGAAGGGAACAGGAGTTCATCTAGGACCTGGTAAGGGAACTCAAGTCTGCCTTGCTTGCTGAAGAAGGTGCTTCATCTCGCCAAATTGTTCAAACTGTCCCAAGGGAGTCATCGCAAGGAGTCCTTTTCAACGGACCTGTTGTTGTGGATGTGGTTTAATTGACTTTTAAACTTTGCTATATCTGTATTATTGTAATTGCTTTATGTTTGTAACGTCATAACTGTATGTAAGTTTTCATAGTTAATATAAACGTTTGTCAATTGTGAACAAGTGGTTGTTGAACCTGACTATTTGACATTTTAAACTGGCAAGAGTTCACTGTATTTTTTGACAAAGTAAAAATGATATATAAAATAAATTTGACTAATTTTACAATTTATATCATACAGATTTATATAATTTATAGTATGAATATTTAATATTTCCAATTAAATAAAATTCTTACTGTTCCAAGCATGCATTGGCTTTCTCTTAAAGCACCACAACAACCAAGGAATCCAAGTATAGTCATAAGAGATCCAGCTGCCATAAGTATGTAGAGTGGAGTAAAGAATGACTTGATGTCCTCTGATCCTGATGCATAGGTAGACCCTTTTATATATGAATAAACAGATAAACCCAATACTGCTATTCCAGCCAACTGTAAATAAAAAGATCAAACTATTTATTTTCTTAAATTAGGAAAAAAAAAAACATTATTATTTTAACAAATACAATTTATATATACACTGAAGAGCAATTGAATTAGGGATAGCTGGCGTTATGCAAATTTTGAGTTGTGCATAAGCATGAAAGTGATTTGCAGATGAGGTAAGCAACAGTTTGACAAGCTAAGGAAGGAGTGCTGTTAATGGTATCAGTAATAGTCAGAAGCAAAATGGGTAAGAGTAAAGATCTAAGAGCATTTGATCATAGACAAATCGTCGGGGCACAACAAATGGGTCACTCCATTTCGGAAGTAGTGGAAACACTGGGATTTTCATGCACTACTGTGTCTAGGGTGTATCTTGAGTATGTTAATTCTGGTAAAACCATCGCTGCCAGGGTCAACTGCCGCAGACAACAGTGTGTGGATGAGCGAGATTGGCGGTAGCTAGCCCACATTATAACAGTGGATAGACAGGCCACAGTGCAACAGATCACCTGTTGATTTAATGCTGGTGCACAGCAAGGTATAAGCTGCCACACCATACAAAACCATCTTCTCTCAATGGGGTACAGGAGTCATCATCCTACGAGAGTCCCCCTTCTGACTGCACAAAACAGTGCGCAGTGATTAGCATGAGCACGGGAACATCGCCGATTGACCTCTGAGATGTGGAAAAAGGTTGCCTGGAGTGATGAGTCAAGATTCACTTTGGTACATGCTGATGGCAGAGCATGTGTACGCTGTAAAGCACATGAAGCAACAGATCCTTTCTGCCAGCAAGTAACTCTTCAAGCTGGTGGAGGTGGCATTCTTGTGTTGGGACTGTTCACATGGACTGAAATGGGACCGCTGGTGTGCATGACAGCGTCGCTGACAGGTGAACATTACCAGGATATCCTTGACGACCATTTGCTTCCATTTGTTCGTTCTTGACAGCCCAGTACAGAGATTGTCTTTCAACAAGACAATGCACCGTGCCATTGCTCCCGATTTGTATCGGAATGGTTGGATGAACATTCCACAGACCCTGCACGTGCTTTACTGGCCATCACAGTCACCTGACCTCAATCCAATCGAGCACATCTGGGATGCAACTGAGAGAGATGTTCAACACTGACCGCCTTCCATCTAATCTTCATGATTTGTGGGAGATTATTCAGGACTCGTGGATATGTATGGCTTCCCATTGCTTCCAGTGTCTTATGGAGTCCATGCCAAGATGAATTGCAGCGGTCATCAAGGTGAAGGGTGGTGCTTCACACTACTAGGCAGATATCTCTAATTCAATTGCTCTTCAGTGTAAATTACTCATACTGTCAAAGTTTATTGTTAATAACCTAATATTTCATTTTCCAGAAAAAGTGAGGATGACAGCAATGGATTTTACAAAACAATGGTTATATTATGTATGATTTTTCTTATGAATTAGCTAACTCAACGTTTTATTTTGTACTACATTTTATAAAAATTTATATATAAATTTTTATATATAAATTTTAGAGATAATAATTAAAGAGAATTCCTATAGTTGGAAATTCTCTTTAACCTATAGGAAATCTGTAGGAATTCTCTTTAATTTCATTATTTTTATTTTCATTAATTTAACACCTTGTAACAAGCTATTGTTTAATATTTATTTCTGTATTTGTTAATTTCCATGTTAAAAATTTTATTAAAATGAATCTCTTTAAAAAAGTAACTTTTTAAAGAACATAGAAATGATAATTACATATTATCCTATTAATTTGTGTTTAAAGAGATTGTTCTATTCAGGGAAATAGATACAACATTGAAACTAATATACCAATAGAAATTTCTCTGTCAAGCATGACGGAATATTTTATATCAGTAGAGATTGAAGAATTGAGAAGAGTAGAGATTAAGAAATTCAAGAATTGCTATTTCTGCAGATTTAGTAGTTTATACTCGAGCTTGACATTGTGATGCTGTTTCTGCAGTCCTTGACAAAACCATTCTTATTCGATGTTGCTCAAGTCAAACTTCTTGGCCTTCAGGGATCTCAGTTGCTTTTATTCTTAGATCTAGAATTTGCCTGACTCTTGTAGATGCATGTGGTGAAAAAGAGCCCGACAAAGGGATATGAGTATAAAACAAAACTTCTTTATTCTTTTCATCTGCGTTTGAAATATTATACAGGATTCGTTAGATTCTGACATTCCTTGGACAAAAGCTTTAAAGTTTAAATACACGAACAGAATCATCAGTCAGAAATCTCGCGACAAAATGATTGATCTAAGATACACAGCACGACAAAAAGAGCACGCGAAAAACTTATAATTAATTACTTAAAGACTACTTATACTAGAGGAAAGAAGAAGGGATAGATTATAGGATAGGACAAGACAAGACAAGAACTGGGTACCCAAACTTAGCTAGCGACTTCATGGTGGTGGTTAGAGCTCACTCCTTGTTGGATGGGATGAATTTCGATGACTAGAGTTTGAGTTTTCCATTCTCGTAACGTGTTCCTCGATAGGCTTCCAGAGGGGCTCGGGTATTAGAATATTAGGGCTCCTCTCTAGTCTTCTCTATATTCGGCCTACTGCCTCTTTCGTTCTCCCGTCGGTGCGAAATCGAGTTGGAGACCTCACAAAATACATTTTTATAATTCGACATCTCAGCCAAAAGTGCTCAGTTTATCTCCCCTTTAGCCCCTCCAGGCTATCTGTTCCTGTTGTCTTAAAATCAGGTTGTCACCACCCGCAGAGAGAAGTTTCCAGAAGGAGGAAGACAAAGGAACAAAGGGTAGAGGAAGAAGGGGAAATGAAGATATATAAGTAAGAATAAAATATACAAAAAAATATGGTGTAAGACCACACTCTTATGCTTCCCCTAGGCATTCCCCCCCGACAAAATAGTGAGTCTTTTTAAATCCATGTTGATAAAACAAAACAAAGATGAATTGTATGTACCGGTATGTTAGTTAGATGAGCAATAACACTTTCTAAACAACAAGCTTGTTAGATCGTTATTTTTGATTGGATATGGCACGTAATGTTCAATTCAATTGAACATTACGTGCCATTACGTAATGTTCAATTCGTATTGAACATTACGTAATGAACATTACGTAATGTTCAATTCAATTGAACATTACATGGTCACTACGAAAAGATTTTAAAACAAATTTGTTATAGAAGTGACATAATGAGGCTATCTTTTAAAGTTTAAAATATGCCATTTGCCAAAATATGTAAAAATGCAACTTAAAGGAAAATTCCCTTGTCAAGCATGAATGTCATGTGGTCACTGACATCACTGCAACATAAGTGCAATCACTGATCCGAAATCTATAAATTCTATTAGCTAATATTTCTGTAAAATAAATAGTCTATACTTGAAGTGTACAATGCCATAAATGTTGGTAAATGTCAAAAAAGAAACTTTTCAGGAGAGGTAAAAAACATTTTTTCTAATGAATGAATTAATTCCAATTTTAGAATAAAATGGTAAAAAACTCACTTAGTTACAAATTCTCTGGAATATCAAAATAATGTAAATATAAGCCGCAACATTTTACATGCCAAAAGTCACGTGACTTGGCACTCTGTCACTTTAAACATTATATTTTCACATAAATTCATCTTCAAAATACAGCCACTTACACTGGCAACATTGCTAAAATATTCTTTTGTAGCAGAAAACATTGCATTTAGAATTCAATTCTTCAATAAAATGTATTTAGAAAAAAATGGCATTTACAATGACATTATGGCATTGCGCACTTCACTTTTTGCCAGAACATAAAATTGCAGGAGTTATAAGGAATTCACACACAGACATGGGCGTAGCGAGGGGGGAGCCTGGGTGGGCACGGCCCCTCCCAGGTTACCTGGTGCCCCCCCAGGAAATCACAGCCGTAAAAGTGTTGAGTCGATTTGTAAACACCTAAAGCTAAAATAAAAGTTTTGAATACTAAAAAAAAAGGTGAACGGCTTGCTCGGTGCCCAATAATGAACAATAATTTGAAATAATTCAATTTTGTGTCAGGTTGGCTTCCACTAGCCCCCCCCATAACAAAACTCTGGCTACGCCCATGCACACAGATGACAACTTTTATATTAGTAATAATTGAAATACAACAGAACCTTGGTTATCCATGATGAAAGGGAAAAATGCCATAATAAAAATTCTGGTTAATCCGATATTATTTGAATCCTGTACCCAGTAAATGAAACAGGTAAATTTTCAAAAGAAATGTGAAGAGAACAATAAATACTACTTCAAACTTACTCATAGCAGTGGGCACAGACAATTATCTCCCTCTTTTCCTGGACAATAACATGCAAAGTAATGAGTCAAAGTGGTTGTGAAGGCCAAATAACTCATCCACGGGCATTTTAGGCATTCTGGTTAATAACTATCCAAGATCCCAAGAATCTACTGTATTATTTTCCATTATTGATATACAGTAATACTTCGACTTACGTGATTTTCAAATCTCGTCGATTCGTCTTTTGTTTGAGCGCCATGCAACTCTTGATTACTCACTCCCCCCACACTATTGTTCAGCTTACATGTTCGGACGTGTCACAAGGAATCGACACTTAAATAATACAAAATAAATTGTAGCTATTTCTGTGTTTGTTATNACTTAGCGCCTGGAGCGGCTGCTCAGTTCGCCCTATGGTAGGGCCGGCTCTGTCTGTGTACTAGCAGTAGGATTTTGGTGTAAGAAAAAAAATTGTGAAATTAGACTAATATGTCATTGTTGTGACCAGATGAATTGACCAATTTAGTGGGAAGCTAAAGATTTATATTTTATGAATATAAAATACAAATCTTTTACTCACTGATTATTATTTGTATTGGAAGTTCACCCAACTTCAAGTTGAGAAAATAAACTTATAGGATTGTTTTTAAATGGATAAATCAGAACTGTCAAAAATGCTCAATTCACTTTTTATACGTTTTTCTAAAATATAATTTACAGAACATTTAAAAGTTGACTAAAAGGTCTACATTTATTA